TGTCTTTTTCCATAATGTGCTGTTATTTTAATTTTGAGATTAGTAATCAATGTATATATCTATATTTCCTGCTAAAATGGCTTTAGCTGTGTCTTACAAGTTCTAATTCATATTTGTATTCACATTTAGTTAAAAATATTTTCTAATTTTTGTTATGATTTTTCTTTGGTCTATCAGTTATTTAGAAATGTATTGCTTAAAGACTGTTTTAGTCTGTTTTGTGTTTCTGTAAACTGGATAATTAAAAAAGAAAACAAGCTCATTTTGCTCGTAGCCCTGGACGCTGGAAAGCCCAGGATCAAGAGGCCACATCTGGTGAGCCTTTTTGCTGTGTCACAATGGCAGAAGGTGTCACCTGGTGAGAGAACGTGTGAGTCAAGGGCTGGGGGCCCAGCTCACCCAGAACCCACTCCAGTAGTGACTCACCCTGTCGTCATGGTAGCACTCATCCATTCCTGAGAGCAGGCCCCAGACCGCCTCACCTCTCAGGGATCCCACCTCTCAGTGCCATGCACAGGGAATTGGTTCCAGCACGTGGACTTTGGGAAACACAGTCAGCTCATGGCAGAAACATTTAAGATTATCTCATTGTCCAGTGGGTATTGTGGTGTGCATTTCTGGCTTCATTCCACTGAGTTCAGAGAATATATTCTGAATGATCACAGTCCTAGTCAGTTTTAGTAAATGATTTTTAAGTTTGTAATTGTTGGGTATAGTGTCCCAAGTATAGAAATTAGGTTAAATTTGTTTGTTGTATTGTTGAAATTTTTCCTTTTCTTTATGGTTTGATTTTTGATCATTATAAGTGGCATGTGAGCATCTCTCTACAATTATTGATATGTCTATTTTTCCCTTTCATTCTCTTAAGTTTTTTGCTTTTATATTTTGAAGTTATACTATGTGTCTGCAAATAGAGATACGTTATATATTCTTGAAAAACTGGCCATTTTGTCGTTTTTAATATCTTAAAGTCTATTTTCTCTAACATTGTGTAATTTGATATTAGTATAGGTACACCAGCTCTCTTTGCATACTTTAGCCTTTTTCATTCATTCTTTTGTTTCAATATTTGGGCCTTTATAGTTTTGGTATTTTCTCAATGGCATTTAGTTGAATTTTATTTTTACTATTCAGTCTTTCAATTTAATCTATTTAATATTATTTAGATCAATTACTAATATGTATGAGATTTGATATCTACTATCTTATTATTTATTTTCCCTTTTACTTACCTGCTTTAAATCCATTCTTGTCTGGCCAGGGATTTAGCTCAGTGGTTCTGCCACCTGCCTCACAAGCACAAGGTCCCAAGTTGGATCCCTGGTACCAAAAAAAAAAAAATTTTTGTCTTTTCTCTTGCCTTCTCTTGGATTAAGTATTTTTATATTTTTACCCTGTATTAATTTACCTTGTTTAGTCTTTTAGTAGTAAGTTTCATATATAAAACTAGTTTATTACCATCCAAAATAACTTTTTATTTTATTTATTTATTTTTTGATACCAGGGATCGAACTTGGGTCCTTGCGGTTGCACAGCAGGCAGCGAAATCACTGAGCTAAATCCACGGCCCAATAACTTTTTATTTTTAATAATTACCAGACAGTGCTTATATTTTACAACATTAACAACATTTTAGGGCCAGGGATTTAGCTCAGTGGTTCCGGCACCTGCCTCAAAAGTGCAAGGTCCCGAGTTCAATCCCCGGTACCAAAAACAACATTTTATTCCTTCCATCTTTTGTGTTTTCTTATTATGTATTTTTCCTTTGTTTTATTTCTACGTAATTTGCAATCACTTAAAACATAATTATTGCTTTGTACCATCAATTTATTTTTCCCATTACTTTTTATTCCTTCTTACATTTCCATATTTCCACATGGAACTATTTTTATTCTGCCTGGAACCCTCATGTTATTCTTTTAATATGGGTCTGCTGGTGACAAATCTGGTTTTATTCATATGGAAATAACTATTTCATATTTACTTTTTGGAGATACGTGCTCTTTTCTCTTGAAATGTTGTTGCTGTCAAATATTTTAGTCCGTCAGTTTATTCCAGCATTTTGGGGGTTGTGTGTGGCTTCCATTATTTTTGTTGGAAAGACATTATCAGTCTTTATTTCCTTACAGGCGATATATCTTTTTTTGTCAAGCAACTCTCAGGATACTCTGTTGGTTTTCAGTAGTTTTACCATGCTGGGCCTATGTGAGTTTTCTTTGAAATTTATCCTACTTTGAGTAGGAGAATTTTCATTTTCAGCCTTTCTCATTTCAAATAATGTTATGCTCTATTCTTTTCTCCTCTTATTCCCTAATTCTAATCACACATGTATTCGAGCTTTTCACCATGTCATGTGTGCCTCTTTTTAATTATTTTCCTTCACCTTTTACCCTAGTATCTTAGTCTGTTTTCTGTTGCTGTAATTAAATGCCACAGACTGAGGTGAGTGGTAAAGAATAGAGTTACTTGCCTCTCAGTTCTGGAGTCTGGGATGTCCGAGAGTGTGGGTGAGGGCTTCTTACAGCACTATACGTGGCAGAGGACATCACATGATGAGACGGAGCAACAGAGCTAGCTCAGGCCTCTTCCTCTGCTTCTGAGATGACTAATGGCATCCTGACCGGCCCACTATCATGACTTCATCTGTCCTAGCTACGTCCCAAAGGTCCTACCTACAGATACCTTCAACATGAATTTAGAGTTCAAATTTCTAACAGATGAAATTTAGGGGAGCACGTTGAAGCCAAAGCATGTGGATATTTTCTGCTTACACATTTTTGTGGTTCACTATTACTTTCTTCTGCTATTTTCAGGATACCGTAAATCTACTATTTAGTTCCTAATTTCAATTCTGATTTTCAATTCTAAGATTTCTATTTTATTTTTTGTTCCAATTCTCTGTTGTAATTCTCAGTCTTCTGTTTTCTCAACCATGTTATCAAGTTTCTTTTTTAAGTCCATCTCTGATAACTCTGGCATCTGAATTCTTTATTTTTTTCTATTGTCTGTTTTTCCTTTGTACAATTTCTTAGTATTTCTAGTATTTTTAATCAAATCCCTAACATGTGTGAAGGAGTACAAAGACTTTGGACATTGTGCTTCCCTCCAGAGGGGATTTGCCTTCTCTGTCAGCAGCTGGGGTGCAAACAGAGTGCCTGAATCCAGCCAGGGACTGAACGAGCTGGCAATTTTGGCACCTCTTATCTGCCCTCACGAGAGTTGCAAGGTTACAGCCTGCAGGGGTCCCAACTGAGAGCTTCACGTGACACTGAGCCCTCCTTCTTGGAAGGTCCTGAATTCCAGTTTTTGGCTCCACATACAAAACAACTATAGAAAATTCTGGATTTCTGCTAAACTTGTCTTTTGCCCATTGGAAGCTTAGCACATTCTTTGAGGAGAAGACCACTAAGTGTTGAATCACCTCTCTCTGTTTCCCTTGTCTCCCAAATGTTAGATTATTAAGGTTCTACATCTGCAGATTTGCCTAGTCATCGATTGCATACTGCGTAGTTAGGCCTGTAATGATGATTGTTTCTTTACTGAATATGTGTACATTTTTCTTGGGTTATTTCCTAAATAATACGGTATAACAGCCATTTACATAGCACATAGCATTTACATTGTAGTGAGTATTGTAAGTAATCTAAAGAAGATTTAAAGTGCATCAAAGATTGTGCATAGGTGGTAGGCAAATAGTATGCCAATTCATATAAGTGGCTTGAGCATCCATGGACTTTGGAATCTGTAGAGAATTCTAGAACCAGCCCGTGGATCCTCAGAGGCGACTATACTGTCATTTAGCTTTAACTAGTCTTTGTTTTGAGCAAGTTTATGTTAGTTTGAGCTCAAGACTTTAGCCTTAAAATATGCCAGTTTAACTTTCTTTTTCAAATAACTAGAGTTATTTAAATTGTAGTTATTTGTAAAAGATTTTCTGGGATGAGTGGGAAAGGGAAATGATGAAGGAAGTCTGTTCTCCATAAGATTTCCTAGGAACCTTTACATCGTCGGTGTTTAGTATCAAGTCCTTTGCATTATGTTTCTTAGTATAAAGTCTTAAATAGACCTGAGTTAAAGGTGGATATTCACAAATGTATGGAAAAATTAAAAGCAATCCCGAACTCTACTTATTAATATCAAGATACCTATAAACCCAAGTGTGAGAAGGTTGTTGAATAAGTAAGGAACTTTTGTCTGAGAAGAGGAATTATTTGGCGATAATTTATGGGCTCTAACCACTATTCAAGTTGCAGAATTGCACTCCTTGTGAACGCTCTGTCCTCCAGATTCACAGTCTCTCCTTCTAGACATGCTGGATGTAGCCTGGAATGTACAGCTTTCTTCCTGATTTTCTGTTCTTATACATTACCATGATATGTTTTCCTCATGCATTGTCACATTTTCACATGGGTTTGGAAACGTTACTTCCTCCTAAGCATAAACGTGACTGTTTCATACAGCCTGTCCATCAGCCTAGTTTTTTATTTTCCATCTGAATGCTCAAATGAATGGATAGAACATAAAAGTATCACTACTTTTGAGATTTTTCTTTACCAAGCATTGACCTTGAGTTTCATTGATTTTGTAAGGCTATGTGTGTGTTTTCTTAAAGGCCATATTACTAGAATAGACAAGGTACATTTCTTTCATATCTGTTGGCATAGTGTGGACTATATTCTGTTTTTGTGAGGCTTAGAAAGTCAAGTAACTTCTCTGGATCACAAAAGACATAAGCATTGCAGTCAGGATTCCAGCCCAGGCCTGAGACCTCTGCAGCGGCTTCCAAGCTGTCCTCCTCCCACAGGATGCATCAGAATATGCATCAGAATAATTGCACCGCAGCCCTGTGCTCACCTCTCTTCCTCTTTCCTGTCTTGTTGTCACTTGAAGAAATCTTCAAGACTGCGCCTCTTTGTTAGCATTGTTAACGGCTCATCGTCTCGTGCCATCTTGATGTTCATGAAGGTAATTCAGACATTTTTATTTTTAATGTCTTGCAGACTGGATGACTATGGCTGTGAGTAAGAAATCTACTCTGCCGGCAGATATTCCTAAAGAAGAGTATGATCCATGCCCAGTAAAGGAAGGGCTGACCAGAGACGGTCCCTGGAAATGCGCCAGCCTGTTGGGATGGCAGTGCCAGGAAGGGTGGGAAGTGCACTGGCCACAAGTGGCCTCTGCCCATCAGGTCACCCCACCAGGAGATGGGGCCCAGCAGGCCCATGAGTCTGGGAAGGGTTGCCCCAGGAGCTCCTCACTTGTTCAGCGCCAGGGATTGCAGCCAAGCAAAAAAGCCTTTGAATGTTATGAGTGCAGAAAAGTCTTCTCAAAGAGCTCCACCCTTAACAAGCATCGGAAAACCCATGCTGAAAAACTCAACACAAGTCAGAAAACACATATGAAAGAGAAACGGTATGAATGTCGAGAATGTGGGAAAGCCTTTCATCAGAGCACACACCTCATCCATCACCAAAGAATTCACACAGGGGAGAAACCATATGAATGTAAGGAATGTGGCAAGGCCTTCTCTGTGAGCTCCTCACTGACTTACCATCAGAAAATCCATACTGGAGAGAAGCCTTTTGAATGCAACTTGTGTGGGAAAGCCTTCATCCGGAACATACATCTTTCCCACCACCATAGAATACATACTGGAGAGAAACCGTTCAAATGTAACATTTGTGAAAAAGCCTTCGTGTGCAGAGCACATCTTACCAAACACCAGAATATTCATAGTGGCAAGAAACCCTATAAATGTAATGAATGTGGGAAAGCTTTCAACCAGAGTACAAGTTTTCTCCAGCATCAGAGAATCCACACCGGAGAGAAACCCTTTGAATGTAACGAATGTGGAAAGGCCTTCAGGGTGAACTCCTCCCTTACCGAACATCAAAGAATTCACACTGGAGAGAAACCTTATAAATGTAGTGAATGTGGAAAAGCTTTCAGGGATAATTCATCTTTTGCACGGCATCGGAAAATTCACACTGGAGAGAAACCCTACAGATGTGGCTTGTGTGAGAAAGCCTTCAGGGACCAATCAGCCCTGGCCCAGCACCAGAGAATTCACACTGGGGAAAAACCTTACACATGTAACATATGCGAGAAGGCATTCAGTGACCACTCTGCCCTCACCCAACATAAGAGAATCCACACGAGAGAAAAACCTTACAAATGTAAAATCTGTGGGAAAGCCTTTATCCGAAGCACACATCTTACACAGCATCAGAGGATTCACACGGGAGAGAAACCCTATAAATGTAACAAATGTGGGAAAGCTTTCAACCAGACAGCAAACCTCATTCAACATCAGAGACATCATATTGGGGAAAAGTGATATGACTGCAGCTTATATGGAAGAGCTTTGATTGAGTAAATTAATTATTGCATTGAGAGAACCCATTCTTAAGAATACCTATGATACTCATATTTACAGAGAGCCAAGATTCCTAACATCGTGGTGTTTGATAACAGAATGGCAAACAAACGTCATTGTTTGGTACTGTCTGGTTGAACAGCAGTACTTTTTTATTAGTCTGAATTACCAAGTAGCAGAACCAAAATGGAGCTTCATTAACAATACAAAAATTGGTTTCCAAAATCTATAATTTAAGAGAATTATAAAATTGTGAAAATTAAGGTTGAGAAGCCAGGGAACACAGGAATGAGAAAGTGGTCTACGGGAATTCCATTCTTACAGCTTCTCTAAGAGCTGCCACTGTAATGTCGCCTCTGTTCTGTCCTTACCCATGCACCTGACACGGAGGGTAAGGAAAGTACAGTCACCCGTGAGCCTGGGGAGTCATTTAAATCACACTTCCCACCTTCTGCTTCAAACTGTCTTTGGTCAGATGTGGTCTGTGTGTCCCCTGGCTTTTTACTCTGTTCTGGAAACGTGACCCCCTTGCTCAGTTGGCTGCTCCTAGCTTAATGGTGTGTCACTTGTTACCACCACCCTCGGGAGTGTGATCTAGCCTCATACACAGTGTACATCAGAATCTGCCAGTCAGGATCAGAACCACAGAATCAACTCGAATCAATCAGTTTCTGGTGTTCACAGCTCGGACTCTGTCTGGGGCGGGGGGGAGTTTGATCACAGTTCTTGAGTTGCCCCGTTCCTTTGGGCCTCAGCTGGAGTCTGACCTTGGGATGACACCTGTGCGGGGCTGTGCTTTACAGCTGTTCTTCACTGTAGTTTCTCTGCACACAGCAGCCAGGCTTGCTCAGTGTGATGTGTGTGTGACAACACCAGCCTCCTAGTTGTGGTTGGTGTTCCTGGCCGACTTCACTTCTGTGACTCACCACTACCTGGTGTGCATTTGACATGAGAGATGAGAGCCTAAGGCCACTTCCCAGGGCACTGTGGCCACTCTGCCTCGGCTGGACGATCCCATGCCCACCACGTTAGAGTATATTTGCTGTTCCCAGAATAGTCAACTGCAGCTTCCTGTCTGCCCAGCTTTGTGTAGGTTTCTAAAGGTCTTAATGTACACAGGGAAACAGGTTTGAATTTCTGCTCTTCATTGGAAAGCAGTTGCTTCCTGTCCTTTTCTTGGTCATTCTGAGAGTGGTGACCAACACACTGAGTAATTTCTTGGTCCAGAAGTGGCCCGTGGCACCATCAGCTTCTCTGGAGGGGCAGTGTCCAAACCCTAAGTTGTGAGTGACACACAAGTATTCCTCTTTCACCACTGTAGTCCATCAGTGTCTCTCATGGAAACCACAGACACGCAGTAACTCCTGTGCCTTCCACATACACAGCACCTGTGCACTCCTCCCACCTCGAGCAGGAGGAGCCTGTCCTGCGGGCTGAGCACAGCAAGGGGGTGCAGATCATCATTCTGGGAAGCGCTGTTGGTCAGGTGGTGCAGTCTTGAGCCCTCCGAGGGCTCCCTCAGCTCCCAGTTAAGGAAGAGGTTGCTGTGTGTCATGTTGGACTCTAGGTTGATACAGAGACTCAGAAGCGTCCAGCTGCTTCTAAGCCCAAATTCTCGGGCTTCTGCTGACCCAGGCTGGCGGTGTGTGGGCCACCCTTCCTGTCAGGTGACCAGCAGCAACTCCTCCTTTCTGCCCTGTGCATGGGAAGCCGACGTCCAAGAGGCTGCTGGGCACTGCCCTGCTTGGGCCCACACTTCTATCGGGTGTCACAGGCTGGCTGCTCGAGACTGAGACTGCGCGTGGCTACTGCAGTTCCATCCCTGGGACCCCCCCCCCCCCCGCGCCTTTACTGTGAATCCCTGAGAAATTCCTCTCTCAGCTGAGTTTGCCGCTCCTGTTGTTTGTCGAAAGCAGGAGAGCCCTGCCGCTTGGCGTTTGCCTGCAGTCGGGCCAAGGCCTGCGCCAGGGTAGGAGCCTCGTGCGTCTCAGCAACAGCGCCCGGAGCTGTCCCTCGGGGGTGGCCCCAGTCTGAAGGCTTCCCCGGAGAGCAGGCTGCCCTCCCGGAGCGCGTCTTCCTCAGATGTGAGGCTTAGCGAAGCGAGACCTGTGGGACGTCGGTTGGTGCTGGGGAAGCAGAAACTTGCATTTGTGGGAACCCTGAGGCAAGAGGCTCTCAGCCTGCATCTGTCCTATCAGCCGACTTGCGCCGTATTGGACGGGATTTCAGCAGCTGCGGGGCACTTTTCCTCCCCTTCCCGCAGCCAGGTCAATCCCGAGACATGCAGGGCGCTGGGAGGAGCAGGCCGGTCCTTCCTCGCTTGCCTGGCCTAGCTGACTGGCCACGCCGCAGATCCCCGCCCACGGCAGAAGGTGGCGGAGCGCCGTGCGGGCCCCTTCGGGTCGCAGAGCTGGGAAGCTGGAAGGGCGCCACTGCAGCAGCTCCCTCAGCCTCATCCAGCCCGGGCCTTCACCCTGCTGCTCACACGGTGCACAAGGACTCCGGGCGCTGCCGGGGCCGCCGCTGTCTCGGACGGTGTGAGCCTGTGGAGAGGCGTCTGAACCCAGTCGTGCAGCCTGGCCCCCGCCCTGCACTTCCGAGCAAACCCGTAAACAGTGCCAGTTCCACCCTGCTGGGGAGGCTGAGACAGGATTCACACCTAGACTATTCTTCTCCAGTGCGGACTCACCAACAGCCACTGGAACTGCCTGGGTTTGGCGGGGGGGGGGGGGTGACGGGCCCCAAATTTCCCCTTCAAGTTCCCCTAGCCCTCTGTCTTGTCCGGTCTTGCTCAACTCCATCCAGGTGTCTCTGTCTCCCTACTTACCTGGCTTTGGCAGCAGCGCGTCCCTAAGACGCTCGCTCTTCCACATTCAGGGACTGCTGTTACAATAGCACTTTACCCAGACTCCTGCTGCCAGGTGGCTGTGCCCTATCCCCGCGTGGAACACAGTATCCCTCCGCTGGCTGAACGCCTTTGGTACGGAAACAGCTTCATGCACGCAAACAGTAAGAATGTCGTGGCCTCCGTGCCTGGTCCTCTCCCTCCTTCCTAAGCCCTCTGCACTTTGCCCTTCAGGCGGCACTTCCGGGCCCCTCAGCAGGGCAATGTGGAGGCAGCTGTCCCACCGCTCTCCTGCAGCTGGAGGGCTCTCCGCACCGCAGGCCACCTCAACGCCACTAAATATATTTTGGTAATGTTTTTACTTTTAATATTTTTATACTGTGGCTTGATTGTTTCTTATCACTCATGGCCCTCTCGGTCGTGCTGATGACCATTCCCTGCAATTTGGAAGTCCTGACCTACTCCCTCCAAGTTTTCTGTCACCCTGTACACCACATGTCACTGTGCTTTTAAAAAAGTTGTTGATGCGTCATCCATCAGTGTGTCTATGAAAATAAAATGAGAAAAGCACCCAGTGTCGGGGCGGGGGGCGGTAATCACTAAGACCAGACCAGAAGCTGCTCTGCTTTTCTCTCTCTATGGTCAGTCTGGTCACGCAAACCCACTGGGTCACACAAACTATCATGTCCAGTCTGTAGAACAGGAAAAGCCGTATCCCCCATTGTTGAGGATGGCAGCTAATATTTGAGGGCGTACCTTGCACCCTGGACTGTTGAAGGCCTTTGTGTTTACTAATAGCCCTAACCCTGCTACTCCCATCCTGTTGCGTGTTCTGTTATGAGAGGGTGAGCACATGTAACCATGGGAGGAGACAGCAGAGGCTCGGAAAAGCAAGTGTGGTATATTCACAGGTCCTAGAGGAAGGTGGGCAAGACGCCAGGCTAGTGGGGGGCACAGGCAGGAGGAGGAGGAGCATGATGCCAGGGCCTTTGGGGGGGTTTTGAGGGAACGGCAAGGCAGGCAGGGTGAAAGGCTTGGGCTAAGGACAGACTCTAAGCTGAATACCAGTGCTTCCTAGTTGCCTCCAGCCTGGCCCCGGGGTGATTAAGACAGAGGGATATTGCCTTCTGGGGGCCTGGGCCAGGTAGTGGAGGTGAGGCTCTGATGGCTATTTGCACAAAGATACTGCCCAGCCGGGCCATTTGCAGTCTCTTAGGAACTGACTAGAACTAAAGGAGAGTCTCTGCCCAGCTGGCAAGATTTTTTTAAGATGTCAGAGCATACTATACTGAAAATATACATACAATATGAATGCTCCTCAGAAGACTGGAGAAATGCTTAGAAATCAGTTGAAAGTCACACGGCTCGCTGGTAAATGGTGAAGCAAAGACAACTCCAGGTGATACGGCCCAGAGTACACATGCTCACCCGCCACACGTGGCCACCTGTTTCTGATGCTCTCTAGGCCCCGTGGCTCAAGATGCAGGAGTGGAGCAGATGTGTGTGGGAGTCATGGCACAAGTCCCCGCTTGTAACCACGCACTTTTCTGCACCGCACACTTCCTCCACTAGAGGGCCTTCTCCAGCCTGGGCTTCGTGGAGCGGTAGGAGCAGAGTGTTCTCCCAGCGAGAGAGTCCGGGCACCCTGGGTCCACAGCCGGATTCTGAGCCTGACAACATGGACCTGAAGGATTTCACTCGCACAGCCTGGGACCCAGGCCAGGTGAGAGCGTTGCTGCTAGCGATGCCTGCTTTGGAGGTGTTCCACAAGGGAGGGGTGAGACTAGGGCCAGAGAGAGGAGGAAATAGCCATTCATTCAATAAATCATGTCTGCCAAGCAGAGTATATATACTTGTCCTACACACATGTAGTCACTGCCTCATGATCTTAAATGGGAAACACAGGAAACAAATAATCAGCAAAGAACCTCAGTATGTAGAAAGAGAAAAGAGAATAGGATCCTCGCCAAGCAGGCTCGCCATGTGCCGTTTACCTGCCTGAATCCTGTGAGGCAGAGCACACGCAAGTCACATGCAGAGGGTTTCTCGCCTACAGAGAGGCAACAGGGAGAACAAAGGCTGGGATTCATGGCGAGCGCTCCTCCCCGGCGCAGATAACCCCTGGGAGCTGAGTCTCTCGGTTGCGCTGGTCACTGGCAGAGGCCTCCCTCACCTCTCCTTAGCCCTTCCCCAGCTCCCAGGCCACATCAGAAGATGCTTCTGGAGCGCTAGTCTGCACTCACTGGAAAGCAGGGTTAACTCAGCCCATGTCTGTCCGTGTTCACTACAGCGGTCTGCACGTAAACCACTGTTTAAGGACAGTTTTAAAAAGCCACCTGCGCACATGATCGAGGACAGTGTTGCCTCAGGAACTGCGCATGAGCTCCACACTATTCTGCATGTAATATGCTCAGAACGCGCATATGCACGCTATTTTAAAGACATTCTGACGCAGTACCCAGGGGGGTCTCGCGAGCTTGTCAGACGGTCTAGAAACACTCCAGTGTAACCCTGCGGCCTCTCTTCTTGCCGACGTGAGAGAAAGTCCATAATTATGACGGCCTGCAGGGCTCCACACAGCAGTATTATTGCCTCGTGTGATGGTCAGTTTCATGCGTCGTTTGGCTGATCAGCTAATCAGACACTGGTGCTGCTGTGAAGGTACTCTGTAGATTTGGCTGATACGTGCATGCAGTTGACTTAAGCCAAGGAGATTATGCCCGATGAAACGGTGGGCCTCGGTGAATCAGCTGAAGGCTTTAAGGTCCCAGAAGGGCCTTTCTTCCCAGAGAAGAAATTCCCCTCAAGACCGTGGCATCCTTTCCTGCCTGCGCTTCTGGCCCGCTGTCTGCTCTCCGGACCAGACTTGACAGCCCGGGTCACATGGGCCAATCCCTTAGAACCGTGGTGGCGAAACTGGCACACGTGTTGTCTTTCAAACAAAAGATGTTAATGTAGAGTTGTGTTTTTTCTAAACTAAAGCCTCAGTATTCAGGTCTAATTGCAGTGCTGGCACTTTGCGATACAAAAGTGGGTTTGGGGCTGCAGTTTGGGCGCTTGTCTCTAAAAGGTTCGCCGTCGCCGCCCCACAACACCCCCTTAGCACTAGGCATGCGCACTGCTCAGGTTTGCTGGAAACGACCCGGGCGCAGCAGGGCTGCAGGGGCGCCTGGGTTGGGAGAGCTTCTTCCCCGACAGGTCGGTGCCAGCACTGGGAGCGGGTTGGAAACAGCAGAGGGCTGAGAAAGGACACGCGGCTCTCTCCGTGCTGTCTTCGCACGGACGACACAGCAGTGACTCCCTTGTCACAGGCGGGCCTGTCAGCCGCGGGCTCCGGCCTCCACACCGGGAGAAGACTCTGTCCTTATCCATCGCCAGCCGAGGCACTCAGTCAGGGCACGCGTGGCCAAGCCAGGCCACGCAGAGGGAAATTCGGCGGTGCACGGCCCTCCAGGCCCCGCGTCCCGGAGCCGGCCGGTGCAGCTCGCCTGCTTCCTCCCTCGGTCAAACCGTGTGGATAAAGAAGATTTATGAAGCTGTTCCACTCAGTAAAATGATGGTGGATATTCTTGGAATTGTGCATTCTATTCCACTGTAGAAGTCTTGAAGACTGATAAATATATAAAGAAGCAAAAGAAAGCCACAAACCTCTGGGGAAAAGTTACATTTATTTAATAAGATTTCACTGAATGAAGGGGGAGGCAGTGTGTGTAATGAAGTAGGGGCATTTTCAAAGGGCGAACGTACAATACATGTGACAATGTGATAATGTGTCAAAAAATCCACACTGGTGATGAAGCATCAGAATATAATAGAAAAAGCCTCTTAGCAAAAGTGTCAGCACCTTGGACCACAGGTGGAAATGCAGCAGAGGTGGCACCAAGCTTACATCAAGATGCAATCTTGGGCCAGGGATTTAGCTCAGTGGTTCTGCTGCCTGCCTCGAAAGTGCAAGGTCCCACGTTCGATCCCTGGTACCAAAAAAAGATGCATTCTCACTCTGCTCTGGAAAACTCACACCTGAGCGAAACACTGCCATTGTAGTAAATGCTGACTGAGCCCCGATGCAGAATTCCACTTTCCCTGGAACATATAATTTTCACCAGGGAGAAATAATTCAAGACGATGAATATGAGACAGCCTTCTGGTATAACCCAACTCTTATCCAACAGGAGAGATCCCCTACTAACAGAGTGCCTTCTACATTCCACAGACTGGAAAAAACACCACACTTCATTCAGGACTTCAGTCAGCCTGATTGGACATCAGGGAATTAAAATTGTGCAGCAAAATACAGGGAAACTTTTAGGGAGGTGTCAGCCCTTCACTAAACATCAAAAAATGATCAAAGCAAAAGATTTCATGCATACACAGACTATGGGAAAGTTCTCAGAGAAAACATACATCTGTACACACTGGGAAACTCAGAAGGGAGAGCAGCCTTGTGAATGTAATAAACAGGAGGACATCCACGAGACAGCGCCTAGTGTGCAGCCAGCCCTCAGCGCACTGAATGTGAGAAAGCCCCAAATAGAAAGATAGCACTGAGGTCGGATGAATCCCCGTCAGGGTCTGGGAGAGAGGGGAGCAGTGTAGACAGCTTGCCTAGCATGTACAAGGCTCTGGCTTTGATCCCCAGCACTGGAAAGAAAATGAATTCCCATCAGCAAGAGGGGGAGCCATGTGTGTGTGGGTCTCTGCCCCAAGCGAGGGCTCAAAGTCAGGAACTTCACACTAGCGAGGAATCCCTTATGTGCCACCACGTGGAAATGCTTCGTCCACTAAGAAACCATTCTAACTCTAAGTCACAGAGTTTGGAGTGGGGAAAACCTCATAAATACGTATTTTTAAAGTGGAAAACTTTTCAACTAGAAGTCAAAACTCACTGCACATCAAAGAATTCATACTTGAAAAGACACTAAGAAAAGAGTAAATGAAACAAACCACTTCATTTGGAGATCAGAGCTCACTGACCCTCAAGTGCTCATTTAGGAGGAAAACCCTGCAACAGCACAAATGCAGAAAGTAATCACAGAGGACCCACAGAGGAAAGAAGCCCTCAAAACTAATGAATTGTGGAAAGCATTCAGCAGTGAACAAAGCTCCATGGTCCCCACTGGGCAAGCCCCCAACTCCAGCAGTGAGGAGGATCTGCCCTTTGGCAAGGTGAGTCTAAAGAAAAACCTAGTTCACGTTCCAAGTGCAGAAAAACAGCCCCTACTCCCAAGCTTAATGGGGATCAGAGACTCTGGGTTGTATGCAGTGTGGTTCTCCTTCACACCATCACAGACATTAGATGTTACAGAGCTCTGACTCATCAGTCAGCCAACGTAATACATTTCAATCCTTCCCCCAGGGAAACAAAATTTCCTAATCAAAATCTAGATTTTTGTTAGAAAGATGACTGAGAAGTGAACATTCATCCATCTGCACTCCAAGCATCTTCTGTTGTTCAGAAAAGTACTGGGAAGGAAGTTTTTCTGTCCATCCTAAATTCTGCGCTTGGAATGAACCTTCCCCATGGACATGACAAGCTTTCGCTGGTCCCAAACTGGCTCGGAACACAACATCCCCCAGGCATCAGAGCACACAGATGCCACCGCTGCTTTACTCCCACACAAGTGCATTTGAATTTCCCAGGCTGTGCATTTAAGGGGTACACATGGAAAGAGGAGCTGCCGAGCTCTAGGGGTGGCCAGCCCCGTGCCTGCATGTAGTAACTCAGGCAGGAGTGCCCTGAGTGCTCATTCACGTCTGCTCATGGGGCTCTCCCTGCAGGCCGGCCCTGTGCCTGGCAGTAGGGTCTCCAGAACCTAGCCCCTCGGTGCAGGGTCCAGGCCCGAGGCCTCTCCTGTGGGGACCTCTCCCTCGGCCGGCCAAGGGCCCCCTGGGTGTGCAGGCCCTGCCACGATGCCAGAACTCCAGAGAGTGGCTGAGGAGGGCCACTCTCTCAGAGTCCGAGCCTGGGGGCTCGAGACCCTCTGCAGAGCAGCCCCAGGCAGGAAGTCCAGTCTCAGGGAGCACGTGGAGCTGGCTGACCCCGAAAGGCGGGGGGGGGCATGAGGCAAGGGCCATCTCCATCCCAGCGTGGCCTTCACGGACCCCTCCTCTTGGTGTCTACCGTGCCAGTGACCAGAGGGCCAGGAAGGGAAGGCGGCGGGAGCCACTGGTCCTGGCCTCACTGCCCTGCTACTTGGGATCCTCTTTGTCCTCGCTGTTGGGTGGAGCAGCCACCGTGGAGGGGGCCTTGAGGCTCCGCTTCCGCTTCTGCACATTCTGCTCCGGGTGGAACAGGATGACGTAGGTTTTGGGCACATAGAGCATGCCGAGGGACACTGAGGCGCTCAGGCTCAGGGACACCGTCAGCGTGGTCGTCTGGATGTAGATCTAAGCCACGGAGGAGGGCAGGAGCTGGGGCTCAGCCTGCTCTCCCGCATTGCTGGCTCGAAGACAGGAGTGTCTGCTCACTGTGTGAGTGGGAGTCACCCTCAGGAGAGGAAGGTGGAAAGGCCAAGGCCTCTCAGAGGAGGCAGGAGCCACACTGTGACTCTGACCCAGGCAGAAGGGGGTGAGGGCAGGAGGGACTGAGTTATTAAGAAGGGGAGGTGAGGCTTGGGAACGTGGGTCTGGAGCATGGCATGAGAGGGTGCTGTGTTTTCAGACACAGGAATGAACGGAGGGAGAGGGCATTCATGAAAAAGCACATGGGCAAACAGACGGGCAGCACAGCAGGAGGATGCATGGTCTGTCATGAATCATTTCATGAAGAAATGACAGCACGAATGATCAAGCAAACGGACTGGCAGATTAACGAGTTAAGTGATATAAAGTATGGGAACAAACTGAATTAAAATCAAACAAATTAGGAACTGAGTGGGTGGTGCATATCTAATCCCAGGAGTCTGGGAAGGGGAGGGAGGAGGACTGCAAGTTCGAGCCCAGTGACTTAGCAAGACCCTGTCTCAATAAAGAGGGCTGGGCATGTAGCTCAGTGTGGAGGCCCTGGGTTCAATCCCCAGAACTGCCCCCAAATAAAAACAAGCAATAATACACAAAAAGTTAGGAAAACATAAGTTAGGAAGAAGGTTGGAAGAATGGACAAGTGAATGAACAAAGAAAGGGAGGCATGGAGCGAGGGAGCACAGAGACACTGGGGAGACTGCACGGCATTTCATTATGCAAACCATCAGCTGCCACTTGGTTGCTCTAGTAACGAAGCCTCCCGATGGCCCAGCTTCGGACCCACGGAGCCCTTTAGGGACAGGAAGGAAACACATGGGACAGGGCCCCACTCACCTTTTCGGCGGACTGGGCGGTGCCAAAGAAGATGGGCACGAAGGCCAGCCAGATGATGCAGGTGGTGTACATGGTGAAGCCGATGGGCTTGGCCTCGTTGAAGGCCTCGGGGACGCCGCGGGCCTTGATGGCGTACACGGTGCACGTGACCATGAGCAGGAGGCTGTAGCCCAGGCAGCCGATGAGGGACAGGTCCGACATGTCGCACTTGAGCACCCCCCGGGCCTGCTCCGGGTCCACCGTGCGCTGCTCCTCATAGTCGATCACGCCGTGTGGGGGCTGGGCCCCCAGCCAGGCCAGCACCCCCACCACCTGCAGAAGCCACGCTGTCAGGACACCGCCTCCACCAGTCTGTGCCAGCCCCGCCCCAGGCCCTGGAGGCCCCAGCCTGCTGAGGGGGAAGCTGGGGGAGGGGCAGTGGGGTGGGGACCCCACACCTGGTGCACCCTCCGTGGTGGCTGGGCTGCTGTGAGGGGCTCCACGGTCTAACCGTGACCAGTGCTGGGCGCCGAGCACACCATCTCTCAGCCTCAGTTCCTCCACCCACAGAATGGAGCAGTTTAAGGACACAGTGTCATCTTGGGGGAGTGGCTGGTACGAGGGCCACCGATTAGGGCCAGGCCTGGAGGAAACACTGACTCCTCCAGTGCCCTCCTCACGGTGGGCATTAGCATCTCCACTCCAGGTGAGAGCACCAGGTCGGCCACGTGTAGCAACAGGGCAAACCCAAGGCCCCTCCTTCTGCAGAGAACCACTGAACAAGCAAGATTATTCGAGAAGCTCAAAATTCGGGCACATCACAGCCCAGAGGCACAAGGCCTGGCATGGCTCAGTCAGAACAAGCTCCTGGGGAAATGGAGATTCAGTTCCTTCGTGGTGAGAAGACATTAGACTTTGAGCCAAGGGACGCTGAGAAGCAGGGACTAAGACCCTGTATGATGGAGAGATCCTGGAAGGACGGCCCTGTGTGTGCGTGCGGGTTGTTCACTGCACAAGAGTGGCTGATCAGAGAGGTAGGTAGGGCTAAAATCTGGCTAGCACATCAGTGCCATGCCAGGCATCCTGAAGGAGGAGGTGCTTCTAATCATCTGTCCACCCAAAAGAAACATCTCTTGTGATTCTCCTAACGGCACAGCTCCGTAGCCAAAAGGCCATAAAATAAAACTCAAGAGGCAACATGGCAGCTCCCTTTAGAACAAGGCTCTGGGTGGGGAGAAGTCACGCATAGAAAATAAAACCCAAGGCTGGTGATGCACGGGGCCAGCAGCTCAAATGCATCCTCCCCAATCTGGCATCCTGCACTTCCGGTAAAATAACAGGAAACGAGCAGAGGATGGGAACAGCCAACTGGCAGAACAGAAGGCTCAAAGGCCACTGGTAACTGCAAGTGAGCAAAGGGCCAGTAAGACGCCATCACACCCGGCCCCCTGGCAGAAAGCCCAAGTTCTGCTGCATGGAGAGGGCAGAGTGTGAGGGCCGGCAAACCGTCAGCTGAGCAGAGGAGCCAGGCTGGCGCAGGTCTGAGTGGAGTCTGGGCGTCGCTGTGCTGGGCAGGGCAGCCACGGGAGTGTCTGGAGCAGGACGCTGCGAGCACCGAGCACCAAGTACCGTCTCAGGACTCGGGCAGATGAGGGAGGCACAGGGCGTGGGGTTGGAGGAAGACGGGCGCCTTCCAGGCACAGAGACTCAGGAGAGCCAAGGCCGGGCTGGGACACACACGGCACAGCACGTACAGAGCTGGGGAGGGAGGGCAGCAGTCTGCAGCGGGACTGGGCCCTGGTCCCACCTCCCGAGCCACGAGTCCCTTAGTTCCCTCTGCACCGAAAACAGCCAGGGCCTCGCAGACGTGGGAGTCGTGTCCCACTCGAGGCTGCTACTGAGCCAGCGCAAGCCCCAAGGCCACGCCACGCCTGACCGTGAGGCGGCACACAGTGCTCCTGTCCCGTGCTGCCCCCTCAGCCCGAACGGCCGCAGAGCCTGTGCCTTAGGAAGACTGGTCACAGGTGTCCTGCCCTGTTTTCAAACGTGGCTCAAACTCGGGAAGGGCTTGTGCAATTTACAACACTCCTGTGCCGTGGAGCAGTCAAAGAGTGCCTGGACTGCCTGCCTGCCTGACCCATCTCCCTGCAGGACTGAGCAGCAGACGTGGATGCGCCTAAAGCACTGCTCTCTCGACCTACAAGAGAAGGGCTCTACGTCCTGCAGCTTTTACCGATACTTAACATGGCAGCCGAAGCGGAACAGAGTGCCTCTACAAATACCATTTCTCTCCCTCTCTCTCTCTTTTCCTGGAGGTAGGGATGGAACCCAGGGCCTGCCACATGCTAGGCAAGCGCTCTACCACTGAGCTACATCCCCTCTTGTCATTTATTTTAAGATAAGGTCTCACTAAGTCGCCCGGGCTGGGCTTGAGCTTGCCATCCTCCTGCTCAGCCTCCCAGGCGTGGGCTGCCACAGCTGATTCTTAAAGCGGGGAACAAACCTCAGCCCGTCCCCCAGCCCGGGAGGCCCCTGCCCACCCCTTGGGACCCAGGGCCCCACCTGCAGGGAGGTGAGGCTGAAGGTGATGACCAGCTGCGACGTGGGGCTGATGAAGGGCGGCGGCGTGACCGAGCGCTTCCCCTGCTCGAAGATGCGGTAGATGCGGTTGGTCTTGGTGAGCAGCGCCGAGTAGCTGAGGGTGGTGCCCAGGCCGAGGAAGAGCCTGCGGGCCGAGCACACGGCTGCCCCGGGCTCCGCCACCAGGAGAAAGGTGGTGGTGTAGATGAGGAAGATGCCGGTGAGGAGCACGTAGCTGAGCTCGCGGCCCGAGGCGCGGACGATGGGGGTGCTGTTGTGTCGCATGAAGGTGGCCGCCACCGTGGTGGTGCCCATGATGCCGAGCACGGCCAGGAGGAGGGGCAGCACGGCCCAGGGCGAGGACCAGGCGAGGCGCACCACCGGGGTGGGGCGGCAGCCCGTGTGGTTGGGCGTGGGCCGCATGTCCCCGGGGCAGGACTCACACGTGAACTCGTCCCCCTGGAAGCGGTAGCCATCGCAGGCCTCGCAGTGCCAGCAGCAGGGCACGCCCTTCACCATCTTCTTCCGCTCACCCGGCCCGCAGGGGAGGCTGCACTGTGACTTGGGCGCCTCGCGCTGGTCGCCTGACCACAGCAAGGCTTCCACCTGCGACAGAAAATGCACGGCCGTGACCTCTGCTGCCAGGAAGCAGGGCCGGCTGCCTGCTGCCGCACCCAGAGCGGGTCTGCGCCGCTTACGTCCAGTCTGAGGGCCTCTGCCCACTGGCCCACTGCCTGGTACCCGCCGCTGTGGGCACTGCCGTTGGCTGCTTGGTACTGGAAGATGTCATAGCGCCCGGGCGCGTCTCCATTCTCATTGAACATCACGGGGGTCCCCGCACTGCCTGGAGGGAGAGCCCGTCATTGTCAACTAGCTCTCCAGTCTCCGGGGGAGGCCTCGAGGCCCAGCCAGGACCACGGGAGAGTTAGGCGGGGTCACGAGAAAGTGCCCAGCACCGCTAATCATCGGGGAAATGCAAATCAATGCCACAGGAGACGCCACCTCACACCCGAGCCACGAAGCTAACAAGCGTCCCCAAGGATGCGCACGGACGCAGAACGTAAACTAGCGCAGCCGCCAGGGAGCGCGGGGCGCGGTGCAGTGGGTTCGCAAAAGATTAAAACGGGAATTGCCCAACGAGCCAGAAATTCCACTCTGGGTGAAGCAGGGACGTGAAGAGATATCTGACCCCCGTGTTCGGAGCAGCTTGATTCACAGCAGCCAAAAGGCAGAAGCCACTCAAGTGTTTATCTGTGGACGAATAAGGGGATATTACTCAAGCTTAAAGAGAAAGGAAATTCTGACACATTTTACAATGGGGCTTTAGAACATCACAGTAAGTGAGAAAGCCGATCACAAAAGCACAAATACTGCACTCACACGAGGCACCTGGGTGGCGAAATTCACTGGGACAGAGGGTGGGTGAGGCTGTCAGGCACTGCGGGGTGGGGAGCTGTCGTCTTCAATGGGCGCAGTTTCGCCCTGGGGTCTGGGCGCCCCACTGCGCACGCACACTCAGAAACTATCAAGGCGGTAAACTGCTGTACGCACTTTTTACAACAATCTGAAAAGCAAACCGCAGGCTCGGCCACCTGGGTGAGGGAGACCAGACCTGAACTAAGTCTGGCCGATGTCTTGCCGCTGCTTCGCTGCTTTCAGAGCTGGTGTGGAGTGAGATGCCGGTGGATTATGGAGCAGTGAGCTCGGCAGAGAGAAGGCGGTCAGTGAACACGGGGCGGAGTGGAGCTGGTTTTCTAAAGGACAGTGACGCGAGAAAAGTAGACCACGGCGCACACAGCACGTCCTTTTGGTCCGTCGGAGGGCACCACGGCTGGCGGCCTTGCCGCGGGCCACAGGCCACTCGTGGCTTACGCTCGAGCAGCTCAGAGCTAAGCTCAGGCCACCCCAAGTTGTCCTGGCCCTGCAGAGAATCCGCCCAGTAGTGGTCCAGGCTTCCTTCCCCCGCACGCCCGGCTCCGCTCACCACTCGCTCACCATTGAAGCGGACAGCGCGGATGTGCTGCAGCAGGGTCCGCCCATCCGTGGGCTCCATCGCGGGGCACAGCCCTGAGTGCCCGGGGCACAGAGCCTGGTGCATGCTGTGTAGCGCGTGCGCGATGGCATACACGGCATCGATCACAAACTGCACCTTCCCCTCCTGCTCATAGGCAGAGTCCTGGCCGATGCGTTCCTCACCTGTCCTGCGGAGGCCGGGAGGAAGTGTTCCTGTCCCCCAGGCGCCAAGCCCGGCCTGCCCCTCCTCCGCGCCAGCTGCCAGCCTGGGCAGCCCTCACCTGTGCACTTGCGGGTGGAATCGTCTGTCTGGCCGCCTGAGCTGGTCAGTTTGCAGTTAAAATTCTCTTCCCAGAACTCGGCAAACCAGATGTTCCTGCGGTTGTTCTCCAGGGAGCGAGTCATGAAGTACTGGTCAAACCCTAGCAGGGAGGGAAAGAGGGAGAAGGGTGGCGGCCACCTGAGCCAGTCCCTTTGCCACCTGCTCCCTTTGCGTCCCGGGGTGGCTGTGCGACCAAGTCCTGGACAATGAATTCAACACCTGCCGGGAGCAAGCTCACAGCCCCACCACTTGAAGGACTTTTATCCCTCCCTCTTCTTTCCTGCTTAAGATGCTGCTGTAAAGATGGAATGGGTGGAGCTGGGGCGTCCATCTCGTCAATATGAGGCCATCAGCATGAAGGCACAGCAACCACAGAGCAAGGTGGGACAGAAGGGATGACAGGGCCCAGGGCTTTGCTAACGTCGTGGAAATGCTGCCCTATGCCCGAAATCACCTGCTTTCAGGCCCGGTCTTGTGATGAAATGCCTTTACTGTTAAAGCCACTCCCAGTCCAGTTCATGGCCTGCAACCCAAGAAGCTGGACAGGGTTCCAGGATGTCCACCACCCAGAGCCCTCCTTCGCTGGGTATGGGCTTCACACTATAGCCCTGAGCAGATCGCCGCATCTGCAGACCAGGTCACCAGATGGTCACAGGTGGGCAGGGCCAGGCCTCCCCACTGTCCCCAGCAGGACAGCATCTGCCATATCGCCCCACTCTTCAATTTGGAGTGGCTTTGGTAAAACCCTAAATATATCCACTAAATTAAAAGCCAAAGCCAAAACCCCAGCCCTGTGTGCTCTCCCTACTCACTCACTCACTCAGAACTGCCTGGAGTCTAAGGGAGCCTGGATTATGCGACCAATTGCACAGATGTGAAAAGTGGGCATCCCGGGAGGGGACGAGAGGGCTGGGAACAGCACGGCCAGACCCACCATCGATGGAGGCCCTTTTGGGCAGGATGGTGATGGCCCCCAAGGCCACATCCTCCAAGCTCAGGATGGGCGAGGTCTTGGCTCCCCAGCTGTCCGAGCCGACCCACAGGAAGTGGCCAGTCAGGTTGGCCTGGCGTGTGGCCTCGAGGACCCTCCTGGCAGGAATGAGCAGAGGCACTAAGTGGGGACCCGGAGGCTCCTCCACCTTTGCCCCAGCCACTTGCATTCTGTCTACCTGGCTCCACGTCACACAGCAGATCCCCATCATGAGGACAAGTGGGGCGCAGAGTCCAGGGCTCACTCCCCAGACTCCCCACCCAAGGCTGCCCACATGCTCCACGCTCTCGCTGGGCCTTCGAGGGTGCGAGGGCTCAGACACGGCTGCCGTTTGTCCCTGGCCAGCTCCTGTGTTGGGAGCTTGGACCCCAACAGGGCAGTGGTGGGAGGTGGGTCCCTGAGAGGTGCCCCCTGCGGGGTGGCTGACTCTTCAGGGCTTAAGCAGCTCTCTGGGGACCTCGCTCAGCGCTGCCCAGTACCTTCCTGACTGGCTGTGTGATCTCACCCTCTCTCTCACCCCTGCCATGACACCTGGGGCCCTGCCACAGCTGGACTCAGCCTCCAAAACTGTGAGCTACATAAACCTTTTTTTAAATAAATCATCCGGCCTCTGGCATTTTGTTACAATAACAAAAAAACCAGATAGCTCCTTGGGGGAAAGCAGGCCAGCCCAAAGCCACACCCATCCCTCTGCAACTGCTCCCACAGTGTCACAGTGCCTCCCAGGCTGGCAGAAGAGCCCCCAGCTGGCTCAGGGCCTGGGTCCACGGCCTCCTGCTGATGTCTTCTGTACCACCCCCACCCCAGCCATCCCTGCCAGCTCACTTCCTGCTCGCAGGTGGCCTATAGGCCCCTTCTCCCATTGTGATGATAGAAACGGACACGTTTCCAGGCTAGGCCTGAATATCTCCACACAGGCCAGCCCTGGTTCAGACTCAAGAATGAGGCAGAGAAGTCCACAGTGGGGAGGAAGCTGGGCGCGGACCTGATGTCGTCCTCATTGGCGAAGATGATGATGCCCCGGGCGTTGGGCGTCTCCATGAGTCTCCGGATGACCTTGTCAAACTCGCCCGGCTTCGGTTCCCTGGGAATCTTGATGGACTGAGCGATGCAGACCCCTCCTGGGTGTTGGGGCATCACAGTCAGCCCTTGGCCCACACCCCACACCCCACACTCCCGTGGCTACCGCATGTGACGGTGAGCAGCACTGGGCCCGCTGAATTCCTGCCTGGCCCCTACCTGGCAGCTGCAGGGCAAGGCCTGAGTCTGCCCAGGGAAAGGGCTCTGGGCCGCCCTAACACAGCCCCGCGGCCAGCAAGGGTTCCAGCGTGCCCACCTCTTGCTCCACCTGTTGGCCCCTGGCTCACATCTGTCCCCAGCTCACCAGCCTCTCGGGAGATCTGCCCAAAAGCCTCCACCCCGCTCTCGCCATAGTTGCCCTCGGAGGCCAGTGTGGACACGTAGTTCCATCCCAGGGCCCGCACGATGTCCACCATGGCCTGGGCCTGGTAGGAGTCAGGCGGCACCACTCTCGAGAAGAAGTCATAGCGCGAGGAGTCGCTGAGCTCCGGGGTGGTGGAGGCGTAGCTGATCTGCGGTATCTGGGGGCAGGAAGGACAGCTGGGCTATGGGAGGTCCGTAGCCCTGGGGAGGGAGGGCGGAGGGCACTCGGGACACAGATGAGGCAAAGACAGTTTGGGGCCAGACGTGCATGGAAGGTGGGGTAGGGAGCTGGGGGCCACACGGGGGCGGGGCTGCTGTGTGTGAATGGATCCAATAGCCTAGGGAAGGCATGAAGGCCAGGCCAAGAGCAGAGCCACCTGACAGCTGTGCAGGCCATGTCCTCGACAAGGGCACTGGAGACGGGGAAGGGACTGACCTCAGCCGTAGCCAATCTAAACACTGGGCACAACTGCATGGCCTGGGGTAAGGGGCGTCCTTGTGGGCCCCAGAGAAAGCACATTTTCCTGATTCCCACAGAGGGGGGTCTGTGCAGGGCAGCCCCGGGGCCCCTTAGAGCTGGAGGGGGCTGACTTAGGGACTGTCCAGACCAATGGAGGGGCTGCCAGAAGCTGGGTTTTATCTGTGTGCATTAGACAGACGAATGGCTGGGATTAAGAGGGCTAAGCCTTTGGGTGGGACAAGGAGATCGGGGCTGGGGGCAGGGGGAGCAACCGGGGAGCCGCAGGGGCTGAGAGTGGGCGGGGGGAGGGGTAGTCACCACGTCGGAGAAAGACACCAGTTACTAATAAAGAGTACAATAAAGGCAGACGTTACAGAGTGCAGCGAGGGGGAGGACGCAGGAGAGGCAGAGGCCGGGATGGAAATTATAAACAGATATATTCCCCCACATGAAGACATGCTGTACGTACTGTACTGAAGGGAAAGTTGGAAAGAGGGACGGGCGTAGGGGCTGCCTGCGCGTCTGGGAGGCAGGGTCTGGAAGGGGGGTGCGGTGCGTGGACCGTTAGGGGACAGCGAGGAAGGGACGGAAGGAGGAAGGGATACGGGAGGAGAAGAAACGTGGGAGGGCCAAGGAGGGGGACAGAAGAGAGCAAGAAGACAAAGCGAGGGAAAAGTGGAGAACAGGGCCGCCATGGTTCCACGACCAGCATCAGTCCTCAGCCTGGCCGCCGCCCTCCAGCGGCGGTCTCTCGGTGTGAGCCGGGCTGACCAAAGCAGGGCCCCTTCCCGAAGGAGGAGAGCAAGAGAGACGTCCCCAGCCCTGGGTGAGGAGGACGGCCCCGCCGGCCTCACCGCGAACAGGCGCAGAACGTTGGCCACCATGATGGACACAGAGCTGGCCGACGCGCCCACGACGGCCACCACGCGCTCGGGGGGCGCGGCGCGCAGCGGAGGGGCGCCCCCGGGGCAGCGCGCCGCTTCATGGCCGTCGTCGCCGCGGCCCTGGATCAGCGCCTGCACGAAGCTCAGCGCCTGCTCCAGCGCATAGGTGTCCCGCGAGCAGGTGTCGAGCAGCCGCGCGCCCAGGCGCACGCCAGGCAGCAGCGCGGGGTCGGCGTTCACGCGGTCCAGCGCGTACAGCATGGCCTCCAGTCGGTGCACGCCCTGCTCCTTCTTGATCGGCCCGCACGCCCTGCCCGCTGGGCCCCGCGCGTGCACCGGGAATAGCCCGCCCAGCGTGAGGCCTCCCGCCACGCGCACCGAGCTCGCGCCCGCGCCGGCGCCCACGCCCGCGCGCGCCAGCCAGGCCGCTAGCGCAAGCAGCAGCCGCGCCCGCGCCAGGGCCATGGCGGGTCCGAGCGCGTCCTCGGGGGGCCTGCGGAGGAGCGAGGCGCGCGGAGAAGCCACAGCCTCGCCCCGGTCCCTGTCCCCGTCCCGGTCCCTGTCCCCGTCCCGTCCCGGCGCACTCTCCGACGCCAGCGCTTCGCCTTGGGCCGGGTCTTCCGGGCGCCGAGGCTGCCTGGAGGATTTAAGGGCCGGGGCGGGGCGGGGCGGGGCGGACGCTTCCTGAGCTGCGCCTCCGAGGCCCCCCCCCCCGGGCCGTGGCTCTGTCGTCCTCGGCGTCTCTCACACGTCCCTGCCTTCTCCCCGCCCGCCCGCCCGCCCGTCGGACTGAGCCTTTGGTCCCTGCCTCTGGCTTGCTGTCCTCTCTCCGGCCCTCGCCCTCTCCCCCTCTCCCAGTCTTTCCAGCCGCTCACGGCCTGGGGCCCCCAGTTTCCTTCCGACCACAGGGGCCTGAGTGGAGGAGACAGGGCCGAGCGGCCGCGAGTGCAGTCAGAGCCGGGCCGGGAGGCAGAGGGCGCCGGGCGGGCCGCGCTTAGCGGACGCAGCCCGGAGGGGAACAGGCCTCTCGAGGGAAGCGACTGGCCCAAGACGGCAGCACCGCCGGTCCACGCCGCCCTTGGAGCAGGAAGGGACGGCAGCTCCTGCAGCTCCCGCCTGGTCTCGCTTGTGACTTTGGACCCTGAAGAGCCGCCCTGTCGCTGTACGAGGCTTCCTGGGCCCGGGTCTGAGCAGGGCGGGAGGCTGCCTGCGCTGGCCTGCCTTCCGGGTCTCGGCTGGGCCAGGAGCCCCTTACCAGCAGCCCTGCTGAGAGCTGATTCGGCTCCCTGACGCCAGGGAGCGGAGGGCGTCCAGGGACAGGTGGCGACTGCCAGCCGCGGGGATCAGCCGGCTGTGCAAGGGCGGCCTGAGGCGGCTTGGTCCCCTTTAACGGCGATGAGGACGGCCGGGAGGACTGGGCCTGCCTGCCGGGGGAGGCAAGCGGGAAACGTGCCGCCTCTGTCTTCCCACGGCGCGCCCACGGGCCTCGAGCCTCAGTCCCGGCAGTCAGGACAGGAGCCCGGAAGAGGGGCCTTGGCGGACTCGGCGACAGCCCCTCCCTTCCCCGCTGCCTGCCGCCCGCCCTCAGCACCTTCACGCCTCGGGAGGGCGTCTCTGAGACCCCACTGCAGCCGCGGAGCCCTCTGCGGCAGCAGGTGCACGCTTGGGCCCAGGTGGTCATCGGGACCCAGCCTCATCGCCCTCCAGGTTCCCCCAGAGGCCACCTCTGCCCCCCGGGGACTGTGCGGCGTGCAACTGCCCTGTGACCCTCCGCGCAAGGACTCGCTTTTGGAGCTACAAACCACCAGATGGCGCTGCGACCACCAGGAGAGACAGAGTGGGGGCCGAGCAGGAATTTAAACCGTGACTGTCTTGGGCGTCTGGGTTGCCAGACAAAGTGCCGCGGACCCGGTGCTTAAAGAACAGAGATTTATCTTGTCAGTTCCTGCGGCTGGGAGTCTCACATGAGGGTGCTGGTGTGGCCGGGGCCTGGTGAGGCCTATTCCTGGCTTGTAGGAGGGCACCCGCCCGCTGTGTTCCCACATGGCCTTTCCTCACTGTGTGTGGTTGGAGTGATCTCTTTCGTCTTCTTAGTAGGCCATCTATCTGATCAGATTAGGGCCCCTCCCTTCTGACCTCATTTAACCTTGGTTACCCCCTCAAAACAATAATAACTGCTCACAGGGTTGTTATGAGCTCTTGAAACAGGCATTGGGTGAGCTCAGCTAGTCAAGTCAACGTACATTCCAAATTACCTGAAAGTTCCCTGACTAGCTCTTTTTATTCCAATCCAGAATCGAATTGAGAATCCCAAGCTGCATTTGGTTGCTATTTGGCCTCTTCTACCCCAGCCTGAGCCAGGGGTTGTTGACATGCTGAACTTCACAACCACAAAGAACAACTAAAGAAGCAGTTTGTTGCTGCACACACACTGTATTTGCAAAGCACTGCAACTATTGAAATGCAAGGTCCTGATGCCTCATAGTAGGTCAAGTGAGCTTAGAGGAGTGTGATGCATGGAAATCTATCAAAGGTAGGTTAATGTGGAGTGTGTATTAAAATACATGTCTAAACTGAATGTAGTGGCCTATACCTGTACCCCAGCTATTAAGGAGACTGAGGCTGGAGTACATTGAATTTATAGCCAGATTGGGCAACACGCTGAAACACTGTCTTAGAGAAAGATGTCTATTTATTCCTAAGCTACACATGGTACAGTTTTGCTGGTCCATGATGTTATATAAGTGGAGAGGGATTATTTGCAAAAGAAAAGCCTGAAAGTGATTTGAACAAATATGAATCTTACCCTAAGCAGTAGAGGCCCCATTGGCTGGTCAGATGAACTGAATCCAGTTTAAAGATTTTCAGTTTTCCTTACATCTTTTTTATTTTTTGAGGTTGGCATAGATTTGAAGGTTAATATGAACATAAAAATTTGGGCTCACAGTTTTGATAATGGAGGGATTGACCCCGTTTTGGAATAGAAATGTTTTAATGAACTACAGACATGTTTTTAAAGATTATATTTTTATCTGTCTTTTCATGGGGAAATAAAGGGTTTTGAAAATGAAATATATTTGAGAAACTTTTCATTTTTAAAAAAAGTCTTTATTAATACCAGAGCATTCTTAGTTCAGAGATACTGTTTAATTGTTTTTGTTTGTTTAATAGGAAAACCTTTAGCCAGAATACAAATTTTCCTCAAAATTCGAGAAATCAAAGTGGAAAAGGCCATGGAATGAATCTCAGAGAAGTCACCCCAGATGTATAACGAAAAGTCTATGCAAGAGCAGGGAAGCTTTTCTTTCTCTTTCTTCTTTTAATGAATGAATGAACGCATGCACGCATTTATTTCTTTATTTAGAAGCCGGGTCTTGCTGTGCAGTTCAGGCGGGCCTTGAACTCACTGTGTGGCCTAGGCTGGAGGCTCCCAAGTGCTGGGATCACAGGTGTGCTCCACCAGGCCAGCAGAAAGCTTTTTCTTAAGAGGCCTCGCAGTAAGCTGAATATGGCCCCACCTCTGCTCACGTCCTGGTCTCCAGAACCTGTGGCTGTTACATTGTGCAGCAAAGGGTTCTTGAAGATGAGATCAGATTAAGGCTTTTGAGATTGGGAGAAGATCCTGGATCATCCAGGTGGATTCCACATTGTCCTGAAGGTCCTGGTAAATAAAAACCTGGAGCAGGGAAAGACTGAAGATATTAAATATTGGTTTTGAAGGAGCCCAGAGAAACCACAAGCAAGGAATGCAGCTCTAAGACTTGGTAAAGACCGGGAAATGGATGTGCCCTCAAGGAGTGCAGCCCCGCTGACATCTTAACTTCAACGCAGGGAAACTGCTTTCATACTGTGGGCCTCTAGAACCTTCGGAGAAAAAGACTGAGTTGTTTCATTTAACCAGGTTTGTGATGATTCGTTACAGCCATACTGTAAGCTGGATACACTTTGAGTGTCTGCAGGGTGCATGCGCTGCAGGCTTCATCCCCAGTGTGGCAGTGTGGGGCACGGGGGGGGCTTCAAGATGGGGGCCTAGTGTGAGGCTTAGGCCAGGGGCGGTGCCTGGATTCAGCTGTGCACAGTGAATTAGTTCTCCTCAGAGCGAGTGGTCCCCACGCTCGTGGCCCCTCCTGCATACAGCCAGTTCCTTTGTCACTTCTGTGCCAGGTGATGCAGCCAGGGGCCCTCACTGGAGGCTAAAGACTGAGCTGCGGGTCTTGGACTTTCATCCTCCAGAACCGTGAACTAAACACATTTCTTTGTACATTACCCGGCCTTGGGTATTTTGTAATAGCACATAACATGGATTAATGAAGCAGCAAGAGAAAGCCAAACAGGTTTGCAGGCTTTATCACCTCTGTCCTAATTGTCCAACTCATAGACGGTATTCAGAGTCAGTCTCATGGTCATGGCCAGGAATGGAAACCAACCCCTGTTCATTGCATGACTGGGATTTCTGTTCACAGTATCAGCTCAGGTTGGGAAGCCCAACTGCTAGAGTGGACCCACCAGGGTCCAGAGTACGGATCCAGAGTGTCAGTTGGAAGGCACTGCAACACACACACACACACACGGAGGTAATGGGAGAGAGAGACAGAGAGAGAGAATAAACACTGCAGGTTTGTGGGTGGGTAAATCAGTCTTTTCAATTATTGATGTGGGAAAATTGAATCATATGAAAATAAATGGAACTTGACCCTGCCTCGTTGCATACATCAAAATCACTTCCAGGTGAATCATGGCCCTGAATGGGAATTACAACCTAAAAGCAGGTGAAAGATGATCTGTGAGGAGGCTGGAGGTGTGGCTGTGGCAGAGTTCGTGCTTAGCGTTACGGAGCCCTGGGTTCGATCCCCAGCCTCCCCCACCCCACAAAAGGGTTTTCTAATAGAATATGCCATGATCTTAGGGAAGGACACCTTAACACCTTAGACTAAACACAACAAACACCAACCACAGCAGAACAGAAGAATGAATATGGCAGCTTTAAATCCAAGAACTCTGTCGCAGGCAGCATAAGGATAAAGCGTCGATACTGTTGGTACTCAGAAATCCAAAATGCAGTGCTTGAAATGCTGAACTTTTTCTCTGGCTTTGCACCCCCATCTCTGACCCTTCTCTCTCAAAGTGCAGGGAGGGGCTTTCTTTGAGGTCCCTTCTTTACCCAAAGTCCAGACCCTCTGGAAGATTAACTGGCAGGAGGGAAGGACAGCGTTGGCACCGTACGAGAGCCTAGGCAAACTCTGTTCCAGGCTATTGCCTGTTCTTTGAGGCCCTTTATTGCCCCTAAAAATTATTCACCCCCTTCTGAAAGTGCCTGCACCCCGTAACTCCCCCCCCATATAAAGCGAGGTGTATGAGCCTCTCGACCTCACTGGGTTACCAGCTCCTCGGGTAAACTTCTCTCCGTCAATCTGGCTTAGCAGATTCAAGGACTGGGTCTTCGGAGGGTGGACGGAGAGTGCCCCCTGCCTCTTCAACAGTTCCTAAGGCTAAAGGACAGACTTATAAGGGATCATGATGCAGTTTCTTCTGAAAAATGAAACAAGAGGAAAAGACATCACAGAGTGAAAAGGCAAGCCGCGGAGTGGAGCCGATATGCACAACACATGCGCCCCATGACTAACACCCA